AGATTTTATTTATTTATTTGAGAGAGAGAGAATGAGACAGAGAGAGCACATGAGAGGGGGAAGGGTCAGAGGGAGAAGCAGACTCCCTGCCGAGCAGGGAGCCCGATGCGGTACTCGATCCAGGGACTCCAGGATCACGACCTGAGCCGAAGGCAGTCGCTTAACCAACTGAGCCACCCAGGCGCCCTCACTTGAATACATTTATTTAAAAAAGGAAACTAGGTATTTTTACCATAGTTGCAAGTTCATGTCTTTCTAATATATATACAGATAAATCCATAAACTAGTAAACTAGCCATCCTTCTAGTGGGCCCCTGACATGGGACAAGCACATGGGGCTGAGCTGGCTCCTGCCCCAGCTGGGGAGCTCCAGGGCCACCACACAGTGATACATGTCTACTTCTATGAGGGCCTGGCCGTGTGCTGGCCACACACATTCCCCAGAAGGCCCCTGGGGCAGCATGGCTGATCCCCCCACTGCACAGACAGGGAGGAGACCTGCTCTGGGGCTCCTTTCCCACTCTTAAACCTCTCTCCAGAAAGTTCTGTCTATGGCACCCCCTGGTGGCTGAAGATGGAACCGCACCCTGCCCTCTTTGTTTTGGGGGATTTGGGGTATTTTGAGGTGACACCTGGAGGCTGCAAGGTCACCAGGGTGAAGACCCCTGCAGTACCTGAGTGTTTGTCACACACAGTTGCCCAGGCCTGGTCCAGCAGCCCCACCAGGCCGCAATCACAGAGGTGGGTCTCTGCTCATCACCAGCTCCAACTGGTGATTGGCCCCTGAGAAATGTCTCCCAGGCCGCCATAGTTTTCCTACTTGATTTTATTATTTTTTTAAATTTTATTTTTATTAATAAGTTTTATTTATTTTTTTATTTTTTGAGAGAGCGAGAGAAAGCACGTACGAGAGCAGGGGCGGTGCAGAGGGAGAGGGAGGGAGAGAGACTTAAGCAGACTCCACGCCCAGCAGAGCCCGATGCGGGGCCCTTGTGAGAACATGACCTGAGCCGAAGAGTCAGACACTCAACCGACTGAGCCACCCAGGCTCAGTTAGAAACTATTAGAAACTGAAGTCACCAGAGGGGTGAATATATTCCTGTGTCTCGAGGGCCAGAGCAAAGCATACAGAACAAACAGAAGGAGGGTCTGGAGGTTTCAGATATTTGTGTAAATCCTTCCTTCTGGTCTGGGCGGAGACTGCATTTTCTCTCCATCCGTATGTGGGTACCTGGACCCGGGCTGTGCATATGATTTTTCATGCGTTCGAAAGTCTGACGATGAAATTTCAGACTTGCAGAAAGGCTCAGTGAGATCCCTGTGGGTGGGGAATCCTGTAACCTGCTTCCTTCCCCGCCCCCTGCTCGTGGACAATGGAGCATGTTTCCCCATCGGCCCCGTAACCCTTGCTTAGTATAAATCCTGTTTGTTGAGTGTTAACGCACACTGTGGTAATGGGTGGTGTGCGTGTGGTGTGATGATTGCTTTTATATCCTGTCACCAGCCACAGGCCAGGCCCTGGCCTTGCCCTGGCCCTCCCGCCACCCCAATTTCATCGGCTGATGGGTTGTGGCGGTCCCGTGCTTCTGTAAGTGGAATCACGCAGCGTGCCTCTCTCAAGCGCCATGTCTTCTGCCCAGCGTCTCACGGGTGCTGGCATGACCGCCGTGTGCAGCTGCAGCTCGTTCCCTGTCTTGTTGTGTCATGTTAACCATAGATTTATCCAGTCTTGGCTGCGTCACACGTTACTTTACCAGCCTTCTCATGAGGGACACGGAGGGTGTTTCCCATCTTCCCCAGGGTTGCTGTGGATTTCCCACGCACGCGTGTGAGGGAGATCCAGACATGCTCAGTGGGCGTGAAGTTAGGAAATACCTACAAGGTTGCTCTACTTCTTAAACCAGTTGCAAGGTCTGCGGGTCCCCAAGACCACGCTCAGGTTTGATAATTCACTAGCAGGACACAGGACTCACTGGAAGCTGTTACGCTCACAGTTAGGGTTTATGACAAGCGAAAGGACACAGGTTACCGTCAGCAAAGGGAAGGGGTGTCTGGGGTGGAGACACCCAGGGTGTTTCGTGCATGGAACTTCTGGGTGTCCCCTGTCTGTGGAGTCTTGTGGACAGCTTTCACTTTTCCTGGCACCAGTGTGTGACAACAGGCATGGTGTACTACCGTCCAGGGATGCTCCCTGAGCCTCGGTGTCCAGGGTTTTTACTGGGGCTCACTCACACGGACCCGGCTGACTGCCACACGGGTGATCTCTGTCTCTAGCCCCTGCAGGGGGCGAGCTGATTCCATGTGGCCTAAGACCCCTACCCTAAATCACACCCTTGGCATAGACCACCCAGCGTGGCCCAAGATCCCAGGCAAACAAAGATAGTCTTGTCAGGCAGAATATTCAGAGGGCTTCCACCTCTCAGGAGCTGGGCACAAAGGCCAGGCCTCTCTTTGGCGAAATTTGATTATTCACCCCCATGACGGGTCTGGAGGTGTTAGGTTTTTATAATCACTGTGATGTGACTTTCTGGAAAGGCTTCACTGCTTTGCTCCTGGATGCCTGATGTGCTCCATTTTCCCAGAACTGACGACAAAGAGTGAGGAGATCCTCCCTCCCCACAGGCAGGCCTTGTTGCCCTCCATAGCTGCAAGTGGAGGGGCAAAAGCTCAGGAGAGGGGAAAAGGCATCTGGAGTTTGAACCTGGGTGCTCAGATCCCAACATCTTGCCCTTGGTCTCCAGCTCCCCAAAGAGGGCAGGGGGGAGGGGTAGCCAGAGCTGTGAAGAGCCCTGGACGGGAGGAAAGCCCAGGGATGCAGTGTCCCTGGGGGACCAGGTTGGCTTTGGGCTGTGCCCTGGCCTGTCCCAGACAGAGGGGCCTGTGTCTATCCCTCAGACTCACACAGGGCCTGTATTCTTGATGGGGCAGATGCCGCAATCACCGTCAGGCTGGGCTCCTCTGGGCCAGCCTCCCCAGCCTCCTATCCGCCCGTGGATCTGATCCTTCTGAAGGAAGCCACCAGGGTGTGCCAGGCTAGGCCCCCGGGGACGTGGTCTGAGCACTGTTCATAGCAGCGAGAAGGGCAGTGATCATGGCCACTCTGAAATTCTTGCCATACCTTGGCTTGTAGACACGCCACTCCAGTCACACAGGCCCCTTCCCCTGGTGTGTCTCTGTGGTCTCCCCTCTGTGTGCGTGGCTGGATCCAAATTGCCCATTTTGATAAGGACCCCAGTCACTATTTTAACTTGATTGTCTTTGTAAAGACCTTATTTCCAAATAAGGTCACATTCTGCAGTACTGGAGGTTAAGATGCCAACATATTGGGGAGGACACGATTCAACCCATAATGTGTGTCATTTCATGGCATCTTCTCCTGAAACCTCTGGGTGGAGGAGGTTTTTAAAATTGGAGTCCCGGGGCACCTGGGTGGCTCAGTCAGTTGAGTATCTGACTCTTGGTTTCAGTTCAGGTCACGGTCTCAGGGTCCTGAGATTAAGCCCCGTGTCGGGATCCACGCTCAGCAGGGAGTCTGCTTGAGATTCTCTCTCCCTCTGTCCCTCCCCTCCCCAACTCATGCACACTTTCTTTCTCTCAAACAAGTAAATAAATCTTTAAAAAATAAAAAATAAAATTGGAGCCCCATTTTATAGATGAGGAAAGCCAAGGCCCCGATAGGTCAAGGTCATACAGCTTGCCATCATTTCTTTGTTCATTCTATGAGTAATTATTGAGTGCTTGCTGTGTACCAAGCGTTGGGCATTGGGGACTCAGTGGGCAGACCTGGTGTCTGTCCTGCGGGGCTTGTGGCCTACAGACAGAAAGCCAGGGAGGTGGGCCCACAGGATTGGGGTTTGATGATGGAAAGCCAGATGCTGTGGGAGCCAGGAGGAGGTTCCCTGCTCCAGCTCAAGAGGGCATCTTAGTTGAGAACTCAGGGGAAGGAGGGGAGGAGGGAAAGGTGTTTCAGGCAGAAGCCCAGCACGTGCAAAGGTCCTGAGGTAGGAAGGGGTGCATTTGGGGCAGTGCCAACAGCCAGAGTGAGGGGTTGCTGGGGTAAAGAGACTAGCACCAACATTGTGCATGGTGCCAGGCTAAGGAGCTCAGGGTGTCGGGGGTCCCAGAGGGGCTGGGGGAGGGAAGGGACATTGTTAAGAGGCTAGAGCCCCTCCCTCAGTGACCCCGCTGACAACCCCCCCCTTCTGTCTGCCTCACAGTGAAGCACCCGCCAGCGGAGCCCTCCAGGTTCATCTCAGTGCCCCCCAAGACGCCAGACAAGATGGGCTTCGACGAGGTGAGCCAGGCCTCCCCTGGCGGGCTGGGGTGGGGGGGCGGGGGCTGGCCCGGAGGGTGCGACCAGAGCTCTGGGCCGCAGGTCTTCATGATCAACCTGAAGCGGCGGCAGGACCGGCGGGAGCGCATGCTGCGGGCCCTGCAGGCTCAGGAGATTGAGAGCCGGCTGGTGGAGGCCGTGGACGGCAAGTGAGTCTGGAGTCCCGCCGCGGGGGGAGGAGCCGGTGGGCACCGGGCTGTAGACCACTCCCTGGCAGGCCCGGCTGGGTGGGTCTTTCTCTGACCCCCCCTCTCCCCGCCCCCAGAGCCATGAACACCAGCCAGGTGGAGGCACTGGGCATCCAGATGCTGCCTGGCTACCGGGACCCCTACCACGGGCGGCCCCTCACCAAGGGTGAGCTGGGCTGCTTCCTCAGCCACTATAACATCTGGAAGGAGGTAGGTCTGGCAGGGGAGGGGAGGGCAGGGCCGTCCTCAAGCTTCTGGCAGCTCAGGGAGGGACTCGCTGGCGCCCCCTGCAGGCTTCTGAAACTTGGGCAGGACACAGGGCCTCTGTTTCGAGATGACTTCACCTGCATGTCACCTGCAGCCTGGCTGGGGCAGCTGCTGTCCTTCCATTGTGCAGATGGGGAAGCAGACTAGGGAGGGAGGGATGAGCCCGGCTCCCACAGAAGGTGGGGTCTCAGGCCCAGGACCCCCAAGGGAGGCCTCTTCCCACCCCACTGTCTTTGGAGCCTGGACTCTGTGCTCAGCATGTACAAGGAGAAGTGATGGCCGCAGGGACAGTAAGCAACGCTAACCCCGCGCCAGCGGCTCGTCAGCCAAGCTCAGAGGCCGAGAGTCAAACCTGGAGCCACCGGGCATGGGGCCAGATGGGGCATCCGGGCGTTTGAGGTGACAGTGCTCTTGCCCTGAGTGAGACTCGTCATGGACGGCGTGGGGCAGAGGCTGTGGTATCTGAGTGGCCCGACCCCGGTTCAAGCCCAGCCCTGCCTCTTAGAGGGGTGAGCTCTGTGAGCAAGGAGGGTGCTCTGTTCTTGCAGATGACAGTCACCCTCCTCAGTCTTGAGGATTCTCAAGTGCATTCAGCGAGCACCCATGCACCTGCTGTGCATCTGGCCTGGTGTTGGGAATGTGACAGCCAGCAAGACAGATGTGGGCCCCTGCGGGGGGCTCACAGCCCAGGGATGTGGGGTGACTGATGGCAAACCACAATAAACTAAGTGCAACGCACCCACAGGAGGGCCATGAATTGTCCTCGGCTGACAGCTTTGGCCAGTGGTTGGGGAGGGCCTAGTAGGTGACATTTGACCTGAGGCCTGAAGGCTGGGGGCCTGCCTGCCGCTGCACTGGGGGGTGCTCTGCGTCGGCACAGGCACAGACCTTGGGGTAGGAAGTAGAAGCCAGGCCAAGGCCAAGGTCAGGGCACACGTCACCAAGTGTGTGAGGAGCTGATGGCCAAGAGGTCCATCCAGACGATGGTGAGGAAGGCTTGTGTTTGCTTCTCTCCTGATGCCCCAGGGCCTTGAAGCAGAGCTGACCTCAGGGTCAGGTCTGCCCTTGGTCTCTGTCTGATGTGGGCGGGGCATCCTCCCTCAGGTTGTGGACCGTGGGCTGCGGAAGTCGCTTGTCTTCGAGGACGACCTGCGCTTTGAGATCTTCTTTAAGAGACGCCTGCTGAACCTCATGCGGGACGTGGAGCGGGAGAGTCTGGACTGGGACCTCATGTGGGTGTGGGGGCAGGGCTGGCCATGGGGTCTGGGCCCTGGGTGGCACTGGGGTGGGGCCGGGGCTCGGGGGCTCAGTTTGGAGTGGGGTGGAGCTGCAGTCTGGGGCTCAGAAGTGTGGCGCAGAGCCTGGAGGTCTGAGGGTCTTTGCAGGTTAATAGGCTGGGCCGACTCTTGGGGGTGTGGCAGAAGGGGACTCGGGTGTAGCCTGTGTGAGGGGCCCCATGGTCCCTAGATCCGAGAGCAGTCAGGGTTTGGCCTAAGGCCTGGGGCGTAGGGCCTGTGGGGTAGGGCCAAAGGCCTGTGAGGATGACCTGGAAATCTAGGGACCTGGCCTGTGGGGAGGGGGCTCTGTCAGGGCTTGGAGACTTGGTGAGTCCTGTAGGAGATGGGGTATGCCTAAGATTTGACTTGGAAGCCTGTGCGCATGGCTGAAGATCTTGGGGTGTGGGCTGGGGTAGGTGTGGCCAGGGCTTGGGGGGTGTGCCCAGGAGCTGGGGGCGTGGCTGAATGTGGGGGCATACCCAGGGAGCCTGGGTCTTAGACCAGCACTAGGTAGGATGTGGCCAGCATATTTCTGGAACAGTCCTTTTGAATCTCCTCTAAGTGAGTTGGTTCGCCCTCCCCCCCGCCCCTTCTCTCTCCTGCGCACAGGGCCCTGATGCAGGTTCTAGGCCCCAGACTCTGGGCCGTGCTAGTAATAGGTGTAGAAACCATATCCCTTCATCCCCAGCTACTCACCACATTCCTGCACCTTGCCCAGCTGCCCCACAGACTTCTGAACTTAGAGCAGCTTCCCTCCTAGCCCCACTCCTTCCTGTGGTTCAGCCTCACAGAGTGTCCAGGACGTCTTCCCCTTTCCAGTTCCAAATCCTCCCATGGCTCCCTAGTACCCTTGGAAAAAACTCATCTCCCTGCACGTCCCAGACGCCTGTGATCCTCCCTGGTCCGGCAGCCACACCAGCCTCCTGGTTGCTCCCCGGAACACACCCAGCCCGCTCCCACCCCAGGGCCTGACGGAGGCTCACTGGATCTCAGACTTGCACAGTTAGCATTCTCCTGCGGGCGGAAGAGGGTGACAGGACCCTGACTCCGCCCCTGCAGCTACGTGGGCCGGAAGCGGATGCAGGTGGAGCACCCGGAGAAGGCCGTGCCGCGCGTGAGGAACCTGGTGGAGGCCGATTACTCCTACTGGACGCTGGCCTACGTGATCTCCCTGCAGGGCGCCCGCAAGCTGCTGGCCGCCCAGCCGCTCTCCAAGATGCTGCCCGTCGACGAGTTCCTGCCCGTCATGTTTGACAAGCACCCAGTGTGAGACGCTCGCTGCGGGCACACGGGCCGGGGTCTTGCCGTGCGTCTGTCCTGGCTCGGTGGGCGTGGGGCTGGCGGACCCCCGGGTCGCCTCTTTTCCTCTGCCTACTCCTACCTCCATGCCTGCCCCCCCCCGCCCACTTCTGTCTCAGTCTGTCCCCTCCCACCTCCCCCTCCATCTTTCCCCGACTCCCAATCCACGCCGGTCCCCCCTCTCCCCGCCCGCCCCCCAGGTCCGAGTACAAGGCCCACTTCTCGCCCCGCAACCTGCGCGCCTTCTCGGTGGAGCCCCTGCTCGTCTACCCCACGCACTACACGGGGGACGATGGGTACGTGAGCGACACGGAGACCTCAGTCGTGTGGAACAACGAGCACGTGAAGACCGACTGGGACCGCGCCAAGTCCCAGAAGATGCGGGAGCAGCAGGCCCTGAGCCGCGAGGCCGAGAACTCGGACGTCCTGCAGTCGCCACTGGACAGCGCGGCGCGCGACGAGCTCTGAGCGCCGACGGCCAAACGCCGAAGCCGGCCTCGCGGGCCCGGCACCCCCTAGCCCCCCGCAGACCCCGGCAGGCGGCGGAGGCCTCTCTCCCCGCGAGGGGCGTGCAGCCGGCTCGGCAAGCACGTGCACGCAGGCAGCTTTCATGCAGGGCCTACTGTATGCCGGGAGCGGGCCTTGGCGCCGGGGGATCAGGGGAACCAGACCTCGTTCGTGTCTTCGGGTGCCGAACACTTGAAGTCCTCACCGGGTACCGGGCTCCCGTGTTTGGCGGCGGGTGAGGCATAATTATCCCCTCAGCCGGTGACTGATTAAGCCGTCAAGCTTGTTTTGATTCCCCCCCCCCCCGCGTCCCCCACCAAGAATCAGCACTAGTGATACACAGTCATTGTTTTAATTCATTGAAGTATTTATTGAATGCCTACTGTATGTTGGGCACCAGCCGTTCTGGGCTCTGAGAATATTGGGGTAAATGAGACACTTTTCATTCATTTCTCTGAACACCTGTCAAGCACCCACTCTGTGCCTGGTACTTGGGACCCAAAGACAAGTCCTTATTAACTCAGCATTTATTGAGTGCCTGCTGTGTGCTGGGAACTGAGCTTGGTGCTGGGGGTGAAGATGAACCAGGTGCTTTTCACTCTTGGATTGGCTTCTTCCCGACTCATCTAGAGAGCACCTACTGTGGGCCAGGCATTAGTGATACCAAACGGTGTGGCAGTTGCTGGGTCAGCATCGGATCACCCACGTGTGTGCGGGGCCACATGCCCAGGGCTGGGCCACCGAGATGAACAAGATGAGTCTTCTTTCTTCATGCAGCAGGCGTTTATCGAGCACCTACTGCGTACCAGACCTCATGGACCCCCAGTGGGACTGGAGAATGGTTGGCTGAGAGTTTGATCCCCACCTGTTCCTCAGTCACCCAAGTTGTGCGCAGACAAAGCCCCCCCACCACCCAGGAGGGAGGGTGGCTCTCCCCTCAGCAGGGGCAGCTGCAGGTCCCAGCGACCACATGGCCACACGCAGGCTCCCCTGGACCCGGCCCCCCTGGCGGGGGCAAGGAATGAAGACAGGGGCTGGGTCTCCTGTGCTCACCTGTCACCCCGTTTGCTTGACCTCCCTGGCCTGCATCTCAGGCGTGGGCTCTGCCCGCTCCGTGGGGTTCCTACATTCAAGGCTTTGGTGGGACTGTGTTTGAGGCCCTGCGTGGGCTCGGCTGCACCAGGGTACTGCCCGTGGCCCGGGCAGGTGCTCCCCGGCATGGGCTGGAGGACTCGCTGTGCCTTCAGCCTAGAATGAATGTCAGAACCAGCCAGCGGTGCTTTGCTCTCTTAGGGATACCTGCTCACTGGGTCAGGTCCTGGATAACTTGCTTATTTTTTTATTAAACGTTCCTGGTTGGTTTTCACATCAGTCTGTGTTCTTTTCTTGGTCCACTGCTCTACTCACCACCAACACACACACTACCCCCCCCGCCCCCCACTGCTGGCCAAGATGTGGGAGGAGACCAGGCGCTGGAGGGAAGCCCAATGGTGGAGGGATGAGGGGGGAGGGTGTAGTGAGAGCCCCTTCTCCTGGCCTGCCCCATAAAACTTCCCTGAAATAGCTCAGGAACAGCTGGGGCCTACCGCAATGTATCCTGTGGGGTCAACTGCAGGATCATCTCCGATGACAGAGTGAGGAGAGACGCTGTCATGTTTTGGGGTCTCCAGAAAACAGACTCCAAGATGAGGATTTGAGTTGTCCCAGAAGTGACCCCAGGAAGCCCCGATGAGGGGTGGGCACGTGAGACGAGGAGGGGAGGAACCCTGCAGGAGGCGTCAATGTGCAACTGAGTCTGGGCCTCTGGGGACCTCAGGAGACAGCACAGAGCATGTGCCTCAGAGTGGTCCCACCCCAGGTGATGGAGGCGGGGCATTTAGCCACACCCAGCTCTTCGTCAAATACTGAAAGGTTCTCAAGATTCCTAAGCCCTTGGACTGCGTAGATACGCACCCAAGGCTTCTACAAAATAACACAGACGGTGTGTAATCCTTGTGGAAGAATTAGAACATACAGCTAAGCAAATTGAAAAAGCCCAATTAAATCCTATATCCTCAGAGACGACAACAATTAACATTTTGGTGAAAAACCTTCCAGTCTCACCCATGCGCGTGGTGCAAATATACACACACGTTTTCAAAGAGAGGATCATGTTCCATAAATGGATTCGACCTTCCCCCCCACATCCTCCACCCGACTCAAATTTTTATTCCATAAACATGGGATCAAATTACACCTGGTTTTTCAGCAATTTTCTTTTTTAAATTTAACAACATATTGTGGGCGTTCTAATCAGGGCAGACGTCTATGAGTTCTTTTTGGGTTGTCACATACAATGTTCAGCGATGGTGATGGACCACCATTCACGTGGCTGTTCTGACCCCGGACTGTCACCGCCCGACTGCGAGCCGTGTTACACAACACATCCTTCCTGCAATTGGGTGAGTCAATGCAGGTGAAAATGCTGGATTCACGTGTGTGCACGGCTCATTTCATGCGGCTACTGTATTTACCCTTCTTGCTTAATCCTGACTATTCATCGTGTGTTTATGGAGGTGGATGATGCAAGTTTATTAATCTCTCATAGAACATCAGAGTCATTTCTCATGTGTTCCAGTTATGTGGGATGTTTCTAAATCTTAACCCAGTGGATCTCAGCTGGGGTGTTTTTGTTCCTCGGGGACATTGGGTGATGTCTGGAGACATTTCTGGTTGTGGTGACTCAGGGTGGTGCTATTGGCATCTGGGAGGGGGGGCAGGGATGCCACTGCACATCCTCTAGTGTACAGGGCAGCCCCGTGACAAAGACTGATTTGGCCCCAGAAGTCCACAGGGCTCTGGTTGAGAATCCTGCACCAATCCCATTCAGCCTCTTGGGGACATGAGTCTCTAGAAGGGTCTTCTTTGTGGCATGAAGTGAAGCATCCTTCGCTATGAAATCTCTCTGGTTAAAACAGGTTCTGCCTCCAGACTGAAGAGGTTAGAAGCTTAAAAGTGGTGACTGGGAATCCCAATTTTATTCTGATAAAATCTCCAGAAGAGTCATATTTCCATGTTCCTGCTGATATATATATCACAAGTTATATTCAAAAGTCTGAAATCAGTTTCACTTGAGTATAGTCAAGATGTCAGCAGGGTTGGATTCCTTCTGGAGGATCTAGGGGAGATTCCATGTCCTTGTTTTTTCCAGCTTCTGGAGATTGCTGGCATGCCTTGACTCACAGCCACTTCCTGTATCTCCCCAATCCCTTGCTTCTGTCATCCCGTCTCCTACTTCTTCATCACGTCTCCTACTTCTTCCATCCCACCTACAAGGACCCTTGTGATTACACTTAGGACCCACTTGGATAATCCAGGACAAGCTTCCCATCATCTTAAGATCCTTAATTACATCTACAATGTTTCTTTTGCCATTTCCGTGCATCCTTGCGCAGGGGCCATGCTAAGCTTCTCTGTATCGTTCCAATTTAGGTATATGTGCTGCCAAAGCCAGAGGTCCTTTTGCCATTTAAAGTAATATTCACAGGGGCATCTGGGTGGCTCAGTCAGTTAAGCATCAGATTCTTGATCTCAGCTCAGGTCTTGATCTCAGGGTTGTGAATTCAAGCCCCATGTTGGGCTCCATGCTGGATATGGAGCCTACTTAAAAAAAAAAAAAGAAAGAAACTTTCACAGATTCTGGGCAATGGGATGTGGGTATCTTTGATGGAGGGGTTATTCAGTCTACCATATGCATCGTTTTAGCAGACTGTAATTGTGGCTGGGTCTGTGGATGTGATGTATCATAATTTCTTATGTATCCTGGTGTAGCATAGCAGTCAGGATTAAGGGTGGGAAATAGAAACCACTTGAGGTTTTTTTTTTTTTTTTTTGAGTGAACTGTGTGTCCAATGCAGGACTCACACTCATGACCCAGAGATCAAGAGTCCCATGCTCTACAGCCTGAGCCAGCCAGGCACCCCAAAAAACCACTTGAGGTCTTTTAACACAAAGGGTTTAATACAGGAAATTCACAAGACTGAACTCTGCGGTTGTAGCATGAAAGCAGCCGCAGATTGAGCTGAATGAATGAATGAATGAAGGAGCATGGCCTTGTGCCAATAACACTTTATTTACAAAAACAGGCAGTGGGCTGGGTGAGGTCCAGGGGGCAGAGTTTTCCACTCCTGGCGCAGGAGAGCAGGACCAGGACTGGTCCTACAGGAATGACTCTGCAGAACCTGCTCACCAGGGGATCTGAGGCTCCCTGAAATCAAGGCAGGGAGGTAGGCAGGAGGTCCTTGACACCTCTGACTTGGGGCACATACCCTGTATCTGCGATCCAGAAATGGAATGCCCCCTTTGTGTCCACCACAACTGCTTTTCAACACCCACCAAGCTTGTCACTGGACAAGGGAATGCAGATTCCAGAACAACAGGTGTTTCTATGCCTGGCTGTGAACAGGGGAAGCAAAAACCAAGACAGCTCCGGTCTCTTCTGCCTTCCAGATGCCCCCAGGCATCTCCGTGGGTGGACCTGAGCACGTGCCCAGCTGCGGGGAAACTCTGTGAGCCTGGCTGCAGCTTTGCAGCCTCTGCCTAGAAAGAGGTTGGATCGGGGCGGGTTCTGATGTCAACCCACCACTTCCTCCTCGTTTATTCCTGTACTTTATGGTGATGGGAAGAATGGTTGTGTAATTGTAGGATGCATAATTGTGGAACCTATTATATGTAATTGTAGCATTAGGAACACAGTAATTATCATGCAATATAATGAATTATGTAATGAAATGTAATCGCACACAGATCATGAATCACAGAATTGTGTTACACCCTCCAGGAAACTGTTTATCTTGTTTACGTTCCCTGGGTGATCGTGCCATGTTGGCAGGTAGCATGATGAAGAGGGGTGGGGAAAGGGGAGTGAGGTTAGGGTAGATTAAGGGGCGGGGGCGAGAGCAGGAGGACAGGGTGAGGTTGAGGCTGGGGGTTCAGGGACAGTGGAGGATGGGTTGTGAGCATGAGGATGGTGCTGGAGTTTAGCTGCAGGTTAGGGGAGGTGAGGAGAAAGAAGCAGGAGGGGGAGTTTGAATAATGGACTAGGTTAGAGGTTGGCAAACTCTGGCCCGAGACTGTCCAGCCACCTGTTTTTCTGTTTAATCTTTAAAATTGAGATGAAATTCGGATAACATAAACTTAGCCATATGCAAGTGGACAATCCTGTGGCACTTAGCACATTCACAGTGTTGTGTAGCTATCACCACCATCCACCTCCAGAAATTTCTATCCTCCCAAACTGGAACTCTGTCCCCATCAGACACAAACTCCCGCTCCCCCTCCCCCAGCCCCCGCCACCCACCGTCCTACTTTCTGCCTCTACGGATTTGGCTACTCAAGTGGGATCATACAGTCTTTGTCCTTTGGTGTCCGGCTTCTTTCACTCAGCAGAGTGTCCTCAAGATTCGCCCATGTTGTGGCCTGGGTCAGAATCTCCTTCCTGTTTAAGGCTGAAGTATCTTCCAGTGTGTGGATAAACCGCCTTGCACTGGCCCATTCATCTGTTGATGGACACTGGCTTGCTTCCATGTTTCGGCTACTGTAAACCATGCTGCTCTGAACATGGGTGTCCAAATATCTCTTCCAGACCCTGCTTTCCATTCTTTGGAGGATATTCCCAGAAGTGGAATTGCTGGGTCACAGGGTAATTCTGTCTTTAATCTCTCT